TTGTTGTTTTGGTATAATATATGATTTTTATCATCAAGTTTATTATCGGGCAGGTATTTATCAGTATTAACATGTTGAGAGAAAGAGATATGATGACATATTTACTGAACAAAGTGAAATTCTCTTTAGGCTGTATATTATACCTTTATTCTTGTTGATAGTGCGTATGAAGTGTTGATGATAGGCCTTATAGGATGTCGACCATAAAGTATTTAGTGTATTGTTTATTATTAAATTACCCTTGACCCATCCTATTTTAACCATATGGCCTCTGTCAGTTTAGCACCAAGTACCCTGAAAGCTAATGGTAAGACACTATGGTGGTTTGTTTTGTTCTGGTATCATTCTGAAAATGTCATCGCCGAAGGCTTCAGCTAATGAAGAAAATAAATATATCGATGACTAGACCCTTATGACTATATCTATTAAATCTTATTATATGTGCTGAATATTCTATACGTCTATCAATATTGTATGAGCTTACACCTCCTTACAACCTGGTGTTAATGAATCGGCTTAATATAGAAATTAGGCTAATTATCACATGAATCAGCCACACAGTCACATCAGGAGGAAGACCTTTAACAGATTCATCGCATCAACTACCGTTAACCGAATTCGCCCCCATTCTTTTAATCACGACGTTTTCACTGCATTATGTTAACACTACAAAAATTATTGGGGTGAAAATTTGAAACATCACTGCCAAGATCTCTCAGGATCAAGTTCAAGTAGCGGGCTCAAAATCAAATATCCACGTTGCCCTTCCAAAGCAAAAAGGCATCTTTGTTAAGCTATGTGGAAACCCCGTAAGGAGTCCTTCATAGACAAAGAAGGAAAAAGTCGATATATCTTGGTTAGAATAGCAGGAGAAACTTGCGATGATCTGAACCGGAAATGACTCTGGAGAGTATTGGTTTCCCATCCTTCTTAACTCAGTTTCCTGTCCTCAAAAATATAATTTTGATTTATCGACAACCTTGCTTGTAACGTGACTTAATGATAGTTTATTGGATTATATTAAGAAGAAAATGTAGTATTAATTCCTAACCATAGTGAAATTACCAGTGATTGACTGACACTGCAGACAGCGTAATGATACCAAATTGACACATTACATATAGAATCAAGCTCATAACATCTACATGTCCCTCTCAGTGAGCGGAAATCTCCAATTCGATGCATACATACTTTTTATAATGACGAAATACTTGGTGCCACTTTGGGACATGGTATGTCAAATCGCCATCCTATTCCGAGAGAATCCACATAGCTAATATTCTTCATTTGGTACATTTAATAGCAATAAACCAATGACTCGGCTCCTTTCAACTAAATCAGTTCTGTGGCGTGTGTACGATGCTAACGAGATATTCTAAATCATCTAGGACACCCGGAGCCACTCTAAAAATTGGTTTATCAACTCTCGTTCGGAGAGTCCACACAGTAACAAGAATTTTCAAATTTATTTATGGTCATTGTCGCTGATAAGGCACGATTTACCTTGAACGTTTCTTCTTTTTTAATTAGTCCGAAACATATGCCTCTATTCCAGTTACTGATAGATACTTTGACAGCTGGAATAGAAAAAGAAAAGTCCGAAAAAGAGTTTAGACCCTGTCTAATGGAGATTTTCCACATCTCCTAAGAAGCATTTTATCTAACATACTATGAAATTGTCTACAATTTGTATAGAGCATCTCCGTAAACTTTTGGTGTAGGATTGTGATGGTATGACTGAACTACAAAAATATTCATCTTTCCGAATATCTCGGGTTTAGCGGATCCGATTAAAATAAATAGGTTTAAAACCCCCGGAGGTCCGCAAATACCAACACGGCCTAGTTTTTCTGTCACTAAGCCAGCCTATAACTTTCAAAATACCTATCGAAGGCTGGCATAGAGACAGGTGTTTCAGTTCATTTGTACGTTCGGTACAATAATGATTGTTATTGAGTTTAAAAATGAGGGGTTAATAAATGGCATTGAAGACAATGCTTCGATTGGGCTGGACCGCAAGGATCCTAAAACTGGAATCTACGTCAGACAGTTATTGGAGACCAATAGAACTCATCAATCTACTCATATTACAAATAATTTCTTGTAGACAGTTTTTATTTGATGAATAGAAGAATTAATGCACCATAAAGTTTTCATAATAGAAGATTAATAAATTCTCTTGGTACAGACACTTTGAGTTAGGATTTATATCCGAAGATCTCCAGGGTTATGGGTTATGAAGTATTTCAAGTTTCTTAAGAAATGAAACTTGTAAATCGTAAAGAAGGAGATATCTGGAGACAGTGGGTTGACCAACTACCAGTTCACTAAGCTGATAGTAAAACATAAATGTTCATAATCCATTTATTTCTAGTAAACAAGGTACTTAAACTGATTATTTGTGGTAAAAAATACTAATAAAACGAGATTGCTCCATTAAAGTGCTCATGAAAACTGATTAAAAAGATGTACTGCTTATCGGAAAAATCCAATATTGCCAGATCTGATAGCATTTTATATAGATTCATAAAAAATTGATAACAGAAAACTCAGTGTGGTTTTGTTCCACGTTTGTATACATTGGTACCTCTTGAGTATTCTTGTTTGCTGTTGTTCTCCCTTGTCAGTTTGATCTTGATTGTGCCAGTCTGCCCAGTCTGCTCTTGATTGTGCCAGTATACTCTTGATTGTGCCAGTCTGCCCCTGATTGTGCCAGTCTGCTCTTGATTGTACCAGTCTGTTCTTGATTGTACCAGTATGCCTTTGATTGTGCCAGTCTTCTCTTGATTGTACCAGTCTGTTCTTTATTGTACCAGTCTGCCCTTGATTGTGCCAGTCTGTTCTTAATTGTACCAGTCTGTCCTTGATTGTGCCAGTCTGTTCTTGATTGTACCAGTCTATTCCTGATTGTACCAGTCTGTTAATGATTGTGCCAGTCTGCCCTTGATTGTGCCAGTCTGTCCTTGATTGATTCTTTTGCTTTTTTCATAATGCTTGTTGACTTTTTGTCAGATGGATTTTTCTGGTTACTCGTTGTACCAATCTATTCTTTTTTGTAATATTTTAGTTGTCTGTGGGTGTTTATGACTGTGGTAGTTAAGTTTGATTGCCCTAACTTTTCTTTGGTTAAACCAATTTGATTTGTTCTGTTTGTCAAAAGCTAGTTAGGAATAGATTAACTTTTAACTATAAATGACGAGATACATTAATTTGAGACAAAAGATGATTAATTTATAAAAGAAAAATAAATTTGTGTTTTTTAATCGTGATTACAGTCCATTGTTATCCTTTTATTCGTGATTGTTCTCCTGATTGTAAGGAACAAGTTCGTTTACCTCTCGTTTTTGTCATATTTAGTTTCATACCAATGTAATTTAGTAAGTTTACGACAACCAGTCATCGTAATTGAGGATTCTTCTTAATGTTAAGGTATATCCCATTTTTCATTTCAAGTTAATCAAAACCCTACCTTCGTGATACAGAGTGATTTTTTCTTGATGTATCATTTCTATCTGCCAACACCATTTATGGTACATTTGTTGTTCCATTAAACTTTTATAAAATACAAAATAAATTCGACACACGAAAACTGAAACACGTAAGCTCATCCTTCATCTTCATTAAACCCGCAAAAAATTGAAACGAAACTTTCAATAGTGATTTCATCAAATTGCATTACATATGACTGAAGTGTCGTGGAAATGTATCTCTTAATGACGACTGAGTGGTATTACTTTAGATGTTCTTTTTTGATGTTAATGAATAGAAGCTATTTTGAAAATTCCTCACTCGATATCGAACCTCGGTTTTGGAGTTTTTACACATTTGACTCTGTACACTATATATGATTAAAAGATATTTAAGTTAAACTGCAAAAGCTTTAGTTTTCCATGAACGAAGGTTTAGAGAGGCTTGCCAAAATCTTTTTGTTTTTCACAAATTGTTTATTCAAGACGGTTTCTAAGAAGATCTGAAAGTTTACTGATCAGTGAAGAACTGGAGAAATAATTATATCAAGAAAAAATATCCAGAAAGAAGCAATCTGGAGAGTTAGTAATGAATAGCATGCTGATTTATATTGATAATGATAATAAGTGAAAGAGTCTGGTCAATCTTTAAAGAGGCTCTCAGTGAGTAATTTTAATACAACCATCAAATGATCAAGACAAGATCTCACTGTTACAAGTAATTACCTTAGAAGTATGTTCAGAGCGGGATAGACCAACACAAACTGTGCCATATCAATATTATTAAACCAAATAACATGAATAGATCACATCAGTGGAAATCTTCACCGTGAAATTACACAAATTATCTTCAAACTGTATGTTGTGTTTCTCACAGCAGTGGTATAGCTCTATAATAGTTGTTTTCAACGTTATGTTGATGATAATAAAGGGACCAATATCGTGAATAGTGATATTTGGACTCCGAAAGGATGCCCGGTCTACAAATTCAGTCGCCCTGGTTATTCTGAACTGGTAAGCATTCTTTGCTTGTAATCAGTGTCCATAGGATTCAACAAAAATAACGCATATCATTATAATTTGTAGCGAAAATAAAACTTATATCACATACAGATCAAGATAAAATGATTAAACCATTTGAGTAATTGAACACAAGCTTCACATTTTTAAATGATCCCAAAAATATTCCTCGAAGAAATAATGTGTAGCATTGTTTTAGCACAATCGAATTCGTCAGAGGTTGGAATGCATAATAGGTTGTTTCATCCCACGTTAGCCTACTTCTAGTTATAGTTTCTATTCGTTAAAATAATATTATATCAATGGCTGTGGAGTGATGAATCTCTGATACCTATCTCAGATGGAAGTGGGCATAACATGAGTTTCAAAGCTGCCATGGGTCATTCCATTTGGAAATGAATGACGAAGTCATATGAATCCACGGAAGCGAAAACGCATTCAGTCCAATGTTCTGTACCTGCTAAGATTGAACGAATCTTGTTTTAAACTAAAACCACTGTATTGTACTTTCAGTTGCTGTATGCTGTATACCAATGACGGTAGCGGAGATAGTTTATCAAGTATGGATTTTTGGAGAATTCATGTGTAAAGTTACTGGATATTTACAAGGTGCGTCTAAAATCGTATATCTGTTGATTCTTTAACTTGCGGAACATTGATATCCTTCCGCAATATCTGTATATTATATTTGTTAATTTGTGGGTTGGATTGCCGACCCGTCATCACCGTCCATACAATTATGCCATTGCTCGCTTATAGTATATATTATAAACCATCCAAACCATTTCTTTTAAAGTAAGACAGATTACGTAGTTTCAATTACTTATATTATATCTTAAAACAAAATTGACCGCTCGTGGTTTTATTATGATTCTTCTCCCAATGTGCACAAACACGTTGCGGAATATTCTGTACTGAAGCTGATGTTTGAATACTTTATATTTGCAGGTATTTATGTGGGAGCCAGTGTTCTAACAATCGTCTGTATGAGTGTGGACAGATTTGTGGCTATCAGATATCCAATGAAAAGTCGTCAAATATTCACCGTGAAAAAGACAAAGCAATTGATCCTGACTACGTGGCTACTGGCAATTGGAGTTATGGTTCCTTTGATATTGGTCAGGAAGCTGGACGATTATAATCTGGTGGTCAATGACCTGTCAATCAGTTATTGTGTTGAACAATGGCCGAGTACAGAATACAGACAAATTTACGACGTGTTTCTGTTCTGTTTTATCTATATTATACCCGGAGTAGCTGTTATGTTGCTGTATGCGTTAATCGGGTGCAGACTGTGGGTGAAAGACACTAGTTTGTCGCGCCAGAATTCCTACATGAACAATGAAGTTAAAATTATGATGAGCAGACGCCGACTGGCACTAATGATGATCATAATATCTGTGTTATTTGCTGTCTGTTGGCTGCCATATTATATATTAAACTTATTAATGGTGTTCAGTCCCCGGATATCAAGAAAAGTTATTCCCCTTTATCCTTTCGCGCTACTCTTGGGACATTCAAATAGTGCGCAGAATCCAATACTGTATTGTTTTATGCACCGGAAGTTCAAGGAGTGTATCTTTAGATTGGTGAAGTGTCAGTGCCGTAAAATTAAATTTGAGAGACAGGTAAGCTTTTAGTCGTTTTGCAGTAGGTGAACGTCTATAGGAGCTAATAAACGAGGTATAGTTCCCGGTACTCTAAAAAAAGAAGAAGCGAATAATGTGCGCATTGTGTCCTGATCTTTACCTGGTGTATTAGCTTCTTCTATCCTCAAAAGTCCAGGGCTCAATTTCAGTCAACCGTAACACTTTACCGTATAAATATCTATTTGGATTTAAAGACTCTTTCGATACTATGTTTCATTTATTTGTAACAGGCACGCAGACGGAATGTGTACATAGCGGAACCAGGAGTGATGAGCTGCTAGAAATTAGTTCTGCTACTACTGAATACCAGCACGGCTGAACTGCTTGATAATATTTTGATTCTCAGTTAATTATAATATTATGATGTTCTATTTTTTCAGATCTCAATATCTAAGGGGTATAGTAGTTATAAAAGAAAGGGCCCTGAGGCGCCTATACTTCGAAAACAAGAAAGTCTACAGCTGGAAGATCAACAGATATAGTTTTCTCTGTCACAGTGGAAAAAATGCAAGAGGTTACTTAAAATCTCCTATCCTATCTTTTGAAAATTTTACATATGAGTCATCTTCGCAACGTCTTTGTGTTTACTTTCTATATAATCGATATCCGATGTGATCAGTGATTTGGATAAGGATCTTGATAAAAAAGATCGTGACGGTGTTATCAATATTTTTTCTGTGGTATTAATCAAAGATAATTTGAAGAGTATATTTTATTCATTATGCGTCACAATTTATGTATTCATACATATAAATATGGTTTCAGAAACGAGCTTACATAAATCTGTTACCAATTAATTCAACATTCAGATATATTATACAATTACTAATAATAAGTAAGAGTGTTATTACATTCCTATGATATTATGATGCTACGTGTGCAGTACGAAAGTGGAATAACAAATGGAACAATTAACCTACTGTCACTTACGAAATCGCGTTAAATGTGTTTTTGGCTTTCAACATAACAAAATTTTCCAGGGCAAGACCCACTAAGCTCCCATCATAACTCGTTTACTATAAAGTCTGCAGGGGGCCGCCAGGGAGGTATATATGGCTTAGATAATGGAGTGCCGTTATTACGCAAAATTGCATTCATATACATGCACTATGATAGGCTGTTGACTTCAAATCGTTATTTCATAGTGTTACAAACTCTATATTTATGGTATTAATCAATATATTTTTCAAACTATAAATGCATATTAACTATAAATTATGCATTAATGGACTTATTTTAAGCGCATTTACATGTGTCGGCATACTTTAACCTAAAGCAATACCGAAAACCCCGTTAAAACACCCAAAAGATTTTTTCCAGCTTTTGTAATTGTAAAGGAGAACATCCTTTTTGATGTGTTGCTTTAATTTTAGTCACAAGCCATTATAAAACATTGTTTTTATGTGTTTATATGTTTTATTCTATAACTATGGTTTATCTCAGATTGTTTAAAGTCATGACAACACATCTGTAATAAATAATGCACAGTCAGATTGAACTTATAATATCCTCCTGCGACAATGTCTTTTAACTGTCTTCAGATGCGAATAGATATGTGTGTGCTCCGTTAGCTATGATTAACTATCACTTTTAAAAAGAGATCGAGGTCGTACAATTTGCACCATTCCATTTTTCATGACCAACGGGCGTCTGATCGAAAATTGGAATGATGCAATTTGATGCTATTATCTTCACCGATTCATCTATAAAATTTACAAACCATCTTTACAATCCCTTTAAGGCCACATTGATATCAGTTGTTATGTTGATTATTATTGAGTGACTGTCCACTCTGATCATCTGATTGACAACAATAGTGTCAATAGCTGTAATTATGTCTTTCTTCTTCTTCTGCCCAGTGTTTGGAACGATGTACACTGGGGCATTAACTAATCATTACATATTTAGTGCACATACAAGAAAACAACATCATACGCAAGTCTGTTTTGTAGAAATACAGAGAACTCATAAGTCGAGCTGGAAACTAAAATAGTGCAAATAATAGTCATACAGCTGTGAGTGTTCAAGATATTCAAAAAAAAATCTTCTATGTGGTTCTTTTGCAACGTTCCGATTATCAATTTGACATCTGTTGTTTCTGCAATTCCTTAATATCTTGGTATAGGTATTTGCGATAAACACATAATCATGTTTTTCTGAAATAAGGGAAACGCATAGGTCGAACTGGAAGTTTTTATACTATCGAAAACCTTTCAAAAATCCCTTTCAAACTACTTGAATGGTATAAGGTTAAGGCCACAGTGCAGTTGTTATGTTGATTATGATTGAGTGACGGTCCACTGTGATTGCCAATAATTATAACAAGTGTCAGGATAACTGGAATCCCATCTACTCATTACATGTCAATTACCATCAGTAATAGGACATCTTTCCTTCTATCATATATTCTGATTACAATTTAACAGTATTTATTATGATACCAGCCGATATGTTCATTAAATTATTTATGGGTTTTCGTATACTACATCTGAAATCCTTTCATTTGCTACAATCTGTAGGGTTACAGTTTATCTGCATATACCTCCAAATTCTATCATGTATCCTGACAGAGGTTGAAGTTGGCGATCGTAACTGACGAAGTTAATTCTTAAAACACAAACACTTATATTCATCTATTCTATGAAGCAAGAAGCTTGTCCGAAACTTATTGATTTCGCCTACTTGTAGAATTGTTTTCTATTGTTAGGCTTGAATCGCCGGTGCTTACAAGACCAAGTTCAATAATGATATGTCAAATGATCAGTGTTAGTTATTTCCAAATGGATCTGGTTGCATACCAACAAATATAGATATAAAGACACCATGACCATTACATCTTCACCAAAAGACCCGAATTCGGTGGTCATTAGATGACAGTTAACGTCCACTTGAAGCTTATATCGAAGACTAGGTAGTTGTACCAGTACCGAATGTTCAATCATATAGAAAGGTTTTGATTTTGTTCAACAATCAAAATGATGATCATTGCGGAGGAAATCATCTCCTAACATGAGATTTGTCATACCCAGGCGGTAATACCTTGTTATAAACTTGTTATCAAAACAAACTTCACAAGAAAATTCTACTTTGTTGTCATGCCGCCATATTGTTTTAAGAATAAATCCTATACTCAATAGTTGATACTGTCAAATTGCGGATTAACTATGATTTTATATTTAAAGTACAATTTTCGCTAAGGTTTAATTGTACAAGTAGGTGCTGTAGACACATCTATCCAAAAATGTCAATGTTGAAATTCGTTATACGCACACCACGTAAGTCTTCCACTACAACCATGCGCATTCGAGATTCCAGAGTGAAATTAGAGTCGTATACAGATAATACCACAGTGACCGATTTTAGCGCTATTTAATGTGAACCGCAAGACTCTAGTGATAAAATATGCAAGGACGTTGATGTCAAATCGGTGTACATTAAAAGGGAACCTCGTTACTGTAATGAATCAAGTGCTAAACCCAAAAGTGATAGTATTAACCCAAATCCAGATGACGACGGCGTCCACCAAAGTGCTTGTGATACCGGACGTTCTAAACTCACCCACTCGGCAAAATTACCAACAGCGTTTTCTCGTAATTCAAGGGACACTACTCCATTAAAGATCGTCGATACATACTTTCCATTATTTTAATCCCCAAGAAGCACCACCAGTAAACGTAAAGCCAGCGATAACATGTATTTCAGAAGTAAACGCGCCCGATGTCTAAATTCGGAATTTTCAGTTTTGTGCGACTATGAACCCGATAGATCCGATTTGAAAATCACACAGATTGATCTAGATCATCGACCAAATAAATATGCTTCCACAAAACCAGCCAACCAAACAGTAACACACAATACCACAACAGACACCATAGAACCACCTACACACAAAGTGAGCAACGAAGCTTCAATCAAAGTAAGCCCAACCATTGAAACCCTTCTCACTACTCCAAGACGCTATGTTAAAAGACGCCCTCGAAACGTCTACACTCCCGAACAAGGCCTAGAAATAGTTCAGTTTGCTATTGAATACGGAACCACTGCTTCTGCCAAAAAGTTCACCGAAGAATTCAACATGCCCATTCATACAAGTACAGTCCATACCATGAAGAAACGATATACAGATCTTAAGTCAACCAATAAGTGTTAAAATTCCCAATGCAGGTCTTCAGACTAATTTATATAAGTGTTAAAATTCCGAGGACGTCATAGCTTATTTCTATTCAGCAACTGGTCTTCTGATTATAGGAATCTTTCACAAAATTTCAAACAATCTGTCTTAATGTTTATACCCTAAATTAATTGTTAGACAGATATCAGAGAAACCACTCCACTGGTAATACATGTAATGAATAGGCTTCACAGAAAAGTGTCGTGACCAAATAGTCATCCTTTTTTGGATCAAATCATACTGCAATGTCCGATAAATTTGGTTTTTGGTTAAGAAACTTTTAATCGTTGTGAAATGTATAAGGCTTAAGTGCATTGATTTTGAATGTTCTAACAAATGGCACAACACATAGTCGCTTTAGTAACATTGATTAGACTATAGATGTTAGCTTTGATAATAATGAATGAAATATATTGATAAACTGTTGGACTTAAATAAATAATTTATTGTTGGTTATATTTCCCTTTGTTCCTGTATGAAATCTCAGGATTGATGGTGATGTACACATACAAATTCAAAAAGACACACGTGGATTTGAAGGCTCGACGGTGAGCTGTAAAAAACTAGCTTAGCTTCTACATTCCCATTTCTGAGACTAAGGTGCGATTGGTCTAACGGATGGCGAACTGTCCCTTTAAATGTTAGTCGTACCGTTTTCGACCATTATGGCTGTTGGCTCTAAAAGAACAGTTCATCATACCACATGTATCTTATTGTGTGATATTTTCGGTCTTGGTATTTTAAATGGCTCTTCGTATTTTCTTTCCTCGCTGAAATAAATGGCAAAGAAACGAACTGAAAAGGTGTTTTACTGATAGGCCACAGAAAAAGTGACCGGGCCCACACTTTGCCGCCCTTTATATCATTGTACATAGGGGACGATTCTGTGGCCACTACGCGCCCCTCGTCCAATTATGCATGTGCAAAAAAGCTTGCAGTATTTCTAACTCGTATAACCCACTCAAGGATCATTTTGTTAAATATGATCATTATATTATCATTGGGAACTACATTACTTTAGGTCTCAAATCTCTTTAGTCACAAGAATATTATGAGTCAACTGACATGAATAACGTTATAGCGAATTTTCCTTTAGCAATATAAATGTACACAAAACAAGATATACCTACCTCGAATCACTCAACACATTATTATTCATAACTTGAATCTTTGTAGGCTTCGGCAGAGATTGGTGTATCTTCTTAAAGCAAAAGAAATAGACAACCCCAGCAATGATCAATAATCCACAGACTGACCCTAATAAAGCGAATATCACTGTGAGATACCCAGGTAATCCACTCTGGTCTGGCGATAATGTAGAAACCACCGGAGATGAGGATGTTGTGAGATCATTATGTGAAACTGTATTTGTTTGACTAGAAAGGGAAGATGGTATGTTATCTGTGCTGGTTAGGGACATGGTAGGTCCAGATGACGCTTCTGAAGATGCTGAAGACGATACACTTTCTGTGCTCGTTATGGGTGTGGTGGGAGCAGTTGATATTACAATTGTTGATGACACTGTTGAAAAGAAATCACACTATATAATAGCGTAGTACTACAAAAAATGTTTTTAATTTCAACTGTCATAAGAATGAAATGAATTGGGACCAAAAATTGTCGGATATCGGAGAATTTCGAACCTCGGATATCGGAATTCAGAGAGTACACAGTATGACAGGAATGGTGTAAGAATTTCTTGTTTTGAGGGGCATTGTAAAGCACAGTACCTAAGACACTGTTATCTATTGTTGTAGGAAGCTTTCAAGATATCGCGGTAACAAACGATGGTTTCATCAAGTGATCTGAAAGAGAGTTCTGTCTGGCTAGCGGCACCCACCAGAATAATCGTAATCCTGCGATTCTACAATGAATTTGACTAACGAAGACACCTAACTATAGTCTACTATCAGATTTCTACGGAGCCCCTAAGGCGCAATTGTAAACCTATTTATTTATTATTTCGTTTAAACGAAATAATTATTTCGTTTAAACGAATTAAATTATTATTAATATGTTTACAATTGCGCCTTAGGGGCTCCGTAGGATTTCCGACATTAATAGTCATATTATATTAGAAACGATCGGAAAGTTTAGACTTTCCTATTGGACATGTTTTAGCAGGTATATATTAGTTAATTCCTTACCAAGAGTTGGTTGCTCTATTATCGCATCAACCTTATACATAAACATCCCTAACTCGTTATAGTTACTATCTTCATCTATATTTACCATTTCCTCAGTTTTAGAATCAGGATGAATATAGTAAGACACACCGTCTCCGGCATTAAAACCAGACTGAAAATAAATACTTATGAAAGACCTATTTTAGAAAGCCAACTTCATTTCAGTTCTAAGTTTTAATCTTCGTAATGAAAATCATATCTGTCTGCAATATAATAAAGATAAATCGATGGAATCGAAGACTGCTTAATTTGCTAGCTTTAATTCCAGTCCCTGGAGAAAAGGACGGTTTGGGGTGACAGATATAACGGTTCAAATAGGAGATAAGACCCCCGACTACGGGTTGACGCTTTCGTTCCCCAAGTCCCTCCACTGCGACACACACCACAACAGAATCGCACTATTCATTACCCACAAGTCTTACCTTGGCTCTTACTTGAATGGATACATCAGGAAAGGGTTTACTATCATATACCCATGTGATGTTAAAATAATGAAATATAACTATAGACATCTCAGAATCACTAGCTAGGATTACTTGAAACACATTCCCCTGAAATTACAGAATGATCAACATTACGACCTACAATAGGATGTGTTGTAGGTCAGAGTTCAAGTCAAGCCAAATATGACATGCTTAACAATATAGTTTTGATTTTGCCACTTCTATCTTTAACAATATATACATGACGTGGGCAAACGCAAACGTTTTGCAATGTTCACAGCTTGAGATAATGCACACGTTGCAATAAATGTTATATTATGAATCCCAACTTTTTAAAACCGATTAATACGGATACACAGTTAGCCGACGATGAAATGCAAAGGTAACAATGAACCTTGCTACTTCATAATATATAGAATAGATATTGCTAGAGAAAGAAAGAGTAATTTATAGTTTGAGGTATATTTGAAGGAATTATGTCATTGTCTGTTCTGGTAGTTCTGAAGACTATTCATATATATATTCAAGACTCAATTCTACCCCCGAAAATGAAAAAACCAAGACCGTTTTCGAAGCAATGGTTTTAAGAAGCAATGTTATTAAAGCATCACATCATTACAATAGTTGACGGCGATCCAACCTTGATATATGAATCGGGAAATAAAAAAAAACAACACCCACCGTTCCTTCCGACTCATCATTAGCAAAAGATTTAACATTGTTCCAAGTACCAACAAACACCCAAGATGGATTTAAATTCTCAAAATAAGTCTTCACATCATCACCAACTTTATTCAGCGTTGTGGTGTCAGATCTCATCCCGTACCAAACCTCTCCGCCGTTAGCAACTTTAACATCTGCACACAGTACACAGATGACAGTTATACCATCACCAATTGGGAAAGCGCCTTGAATTTGTGTCACTCTTAATTCAGAATTAAAACTTATAATACCATCGATATTAATCTGAAATGAAAATAATCAATTAATCATATTCTGGAACTTTTGACTATTGTGGCCCTCCAAAAAAGCACCACAGTAATTGTTGGTCTCCGGCCCACAACATCGGATAGTGCTTTATAGGCTGCAGTATTACAGATGCAGTATTTGGCACATTCTTGTCCATCAGGCCGTCAGCAGATACATTTCCGTATGATGAAATACAAATGAATAGTTTATATCCATGTGAATCTATATACAGCCTGTTTAAAGGGGTTATATCAGACCCAGTTACATAGGTCTTCGGCCTGATCTTACCTTTTTAAAATTGACTGTGCTCATAGTGATTTTCGTTCAGTTACAACCATTATCAACTATCAGTCGAATCTATATCTATAAGGTACTGTGTAATATATTATAAACACATACCCATCAAAGATAACATATTTATTAAGATACGGTTTATACTTTAGCTTGATACAAGTTCGGCACTTACGTATAATTTGCTGTATAGGTTTCCATACAATTTAAAACTCTCTGTCAAATTTATTTGAGCGAATTGAGCATCAACTGGCGGTTGTATATCTCCTTCCGAAAGACCAAATGGTAGGTAGGTTTGGGCATTAGATTGTTTCCATTCATAAACAATACCAATTATGAAAAGCATTTTCATTGTAGTTATGACAGACATTGTGAGGTTGCATTTTATCAGAAGAGAAATGTCTTCTAGTCCATTCTAACAATAACTACACTGCTATTATATCGTGCTCTAGCCCCAACATCGAAAATTGGCTTTCGTATTGAATGATTCTGTAAATGAAGAATGGAGCGTTGAACATTGTTGAACATATTTAGAATCAATAGATTTAAAAATATTACATGCAGAACACTCAGGAATTGCAATTCAAACCTTGTTCATAGCTAATGAAAATTAGCATATAACAAACTATCATCTAATTATTATTTATAATTATTATATTAGAAATATTAAAACAAAATATATGATGTTACGTAGAGATGTACGCTGTGATCTTCAGACAGCTGACCTGTGTAACAACATGGTTTTAAGGTTCTGTTTTAATATTTCTATATCGCTCTACAATTGATATATTGAGCACTATTTTAACAGTGGTGTTTCTATATTGCTCTACAATTAATGTATTCGGGACTATTTTAACAGTGAAAATATTTTATTATTGTATTATAAATGTTGAGTAAATGTCGCTTATAAATATAATATTAAACTTACACTTTAAGAATTTTCTATGGAGTCCAATATCATCATTTATAATAATACGATTTTCTTCTTCTTAAACTGAGATTTTAATCCCTAGAGTTAAATCATCATAAAATGAAATAAACATAATAATTCAATTTACTCCTGAAATATTTAGATTGTTATCAAACGCTCATATCTTATTTATAAAGCATTTCATTCGACCTAATAAAATCCACGATGTTTACTCAGTTCGCCCAGAGAGACAAGTATTCAGAATGTTACATTTTTATAATTGCATACACTTATCTTCTTATTATACTATATACTGGATATTTGTTAATAACGCTTAATATAGATGCAATATACGCCACATAACATTTTACTTGGTCAATATTCTAATAGAAATGTATTAAAAGGTATGATGTTCATATAATACAATACAAGTATTGCGTCTTTAATTCTATACCAAAAACATTAACAAAGCCTTTTCTTACCTTCTAATAAACACAAAGGTTACTCCTCTTCAATGTGCAAGTTCATCTCTGAATAAATGTCACCCTGAAATGCTCTGAAAATGCCACACAGAAGGTACGTCTTTGAAAATTATACCACACTGAAAAATGTGTTACATTATAAATTATAGATCACAAAAAGAGTATAAGTCACACTTCATATGAGAGAAGCAGAGTATTAATACTCTTTTCTAAACACCTGATTGTACCTCTCGTTTGAGGACCTTATACACAATTATTACTCCCGTTTTTGTCTTGCTTTGGATGTCACACTGAATAGTTTCTATCACACTGAATAGTTTATATCTCACTTCGAGACGTCAGAATATAATTTCCATGTCTTGATACGCCACTTTTATACCATTTTATTTCAATCGAATTTTAAACTTAATAGCTACCACGTCTTTCATGTGATCAACGATTTTTTTTTTAGGTATTTCGTGGTCTTTTGAGGGAATTTGGGGAGAGCAATTAAGCAATCTCATTACAGCTAGGAAGACCATTAAAAGAGATTGACCCCGAGATTGGCTCCGTTCTTATTGCGCTGCTACTGCGACGGAAAATGAACTCAAAGCATGGTAAGGTCGGCATAAGCGTGGTATAAGCGTGTAGGCCACGACAGACATCGTCGCCATTGTGGCCACTATTCGCGTCGCGGCGTTTATTTTGGACATGTTAGACGATCTGTTCTGGAACGCGTTCAGAACACCATGGGGTCGAGAAGACCATCTCTTTGAACGGTTTGAAAGCGCGGTACAGTCTCGGCAAAGACGCTGCAAAACGTTAGAACTATAACTCGTGGTATAAGGTCGACTGTGTTTAAGTTTGTAATTTTTTTATTTATTTTTTCTAGTTTTCCTCGTGTTTGCCCGCGACCTAGTAGTTTCATATCGCAGTCTGGCGTGACTGGGCTATAACGACGTCTTATTTTTTTTAGGTATTCCGTGGTCTTTCATTTTTTTGAATTTAGGAGAGTAATTATGCAATGTGAATACAGCTAAACAGACCATTAAAATGGTGATTGACATATTAACGACCACCAACGCCCAGTCATGAAACGATAGAAGTAAGTTTATAATTTATGTCATTAATCAGTATGGAATAACCAACTGCTGACATTCTATATACAATACAAATAATACTAACTAAATTAAGCATATATCAGTTTACTGGAATTTTTTAAAATTATTTCTGTAATCCAGCTTTGGTGTTAGATATACGATCGCTATGATTCAATCGTCGTCTTATTTGTGTATGATATAAATCATTTTGTCAAACCGGCGTATTCCATGACGCTGTTTTAGGATTAGGATGTCAAAGATTTTGAAAAAATACATCATATAGGTATCTAAATATCTACAATAACCAAACAATTTAAACTGAAGTCTAGGGTCAAAACGGCAGACGAATTTCCGTAGTGGCTAGAAATATCGCAATCTTGAGAAATTATCGCGGCCCTTGAATTCGGGTCACAGGGCCCATACTCCTCAGTCCTCCATGCACCTTATGGGAAGAAACATTGCTATTTAGTTCGATCTATCTATACGAAAACAGAGACAACTTGACGAATATCATATCACTATATATATGATAGCATCGACGGATTAGGATCAAATTTGACGCATTGTTTGACCACGTCAGGATTTGTAGACCACGTAATGATCCGGCTCTCTGTCACTTTGCCTTCCAGCGAAATTCCTCGGCAATCGCGTACGTGCCATCTAATACATTTTCATTTTAACTTCTACATGAACTTATCCTGGTTACGATCTCCGCAATGGTCGGTCGAAATAGTACCTTCGGATGTTTCAACTCGGTTTCTTCCCGTCAGCAATGTGAGTCTGAGGACCGATACAGAAAAAGCTTAAAATGAAACGCCTTCTGTGCTGCAGACTGTGCAATCTCTTGAAATAGAGAATGCTTATGTCCATGTCCCTTGCATAATTCCCCTTTTGCACGCTACATCGAGTTGCCAGTCTTCATTTACCGAATTAGTTGCCGAATTTCACTCCATTTCATAATGAGTAAATAAATACTTTTATACATACCTTTTTATAAGCCAGATGATCGAATAACTGTCGCCAGATAGAGCTAGATCTTAATTCACCTTTGTATACCAACTGATTGAAATCTTTCCTCCTTCATTATAGGGTTAAGATGCGCTTAAGTGAATGAAAGAGGAGGGATACGCGCTGTCGATGTCGTATAGGATATGGGTATTGTCGTTGGTTTTGATGTTTAAATGTTCCAGCTCTACTTTTAATTTTTAGGGATATGCTGTCAAAATGTTGTGAAATTGAAACCAAAATCAACTACCGTATAGTCACATGCATTGGTTACAGGTTCTGTTTTGGATAAATTTATAGACAAACCTGACCTCGGACGTTCAATCTGAAAAAGGTCATGCCTGGGTCGACTGAGTAACATATCTCCTAGGCACTTTATAGATTAAATGATAAATTGTGTAATATCTCGGTACATGCTCTTTAACTGCAGGTAGTAATATTTATCAAGTCTTGGTGTGTGCTAATACAAGTTAAAATATCATTAAGAAAATAACCCGCAGGATTTTATCAATTATAATGTTTCTGAATATCATCGTTTTTAACTGTCAATAGGTCGATTTACTTTGATCTTTTTTTCAACAGAAAGGTTGATTTGTGTTTGAAATGTTTTAGCACCTCGTTTAATCGATCGTATACAGTTCACTTTTGTAAAAACTTGGTCATCTCGATCGTTAGGACATTGAAGTATTTTTAAAAAAGGCAATTACAGGTAATTATATGTGAAAGTCACGCTGCCTTTTCACAGCTTTCGAAGGAGTGTCATATCTATGATTATTATGAGATATGGAATTACACGTAATTTATCTAAAGAACAGATCTTACGCATTGAACTACGTCTATCCTTCATTGGGGAAGCCAGGGATCTTGATCGAGTCCTTGGACTCCACGATTTTGAGTCTGGAAACACCATAAGAGGAGGCAGTGTGTGTTTTATTAGTTTTTTCGTACATAGTGGCGCGGACATCCCGCACACGCTCTTTATACATAGTGAGATAATGCTTCAGAGTCGGTCTTTCACTTTATAGGAAGAAGAGAAGACGAAGAAACCACTCGGCTATCTACTGACAGGCGAGCATGCGTTCCCTCATAGAATCACCAAGATCTGGTAGCAATCTGAAGCGCTTTGCTCACTGAACCTTCTCGGCTCATAAAAACAAGCCAAGATACAAACAGAATATAAAACACTGAAATAGGACACTCTATATACAATAACAAAAACACACAATATAAAAATGTGTGTAATAAGATTTAATTCGAGTTAATCGGGGTCAACATTTCTTTATGTCTTAAAATCTGAAACCGCTGAATATCTTTTGTTAAAAGGGGTGTTGGGATTTACAGCACGAGTCTCTCATATTAGGTGGGCTGAAGTCGACAGACGATTCAAATGATCCCATCAGATCAGTCGAAGTCAATTTGACCGTTAACTAGCAACTGTGATCAATATGGCCTCTAATTGCGTCAACTGGACGTCGAATGAAGCAGCAAACCTGAGCAATCAACGACAACTTTGGTAACCGGAAAAAGTTACGATTTATAAGATTCTATACCCCTTTCAGTTTTACAACTGATCTGAAGCATGCTTATTATCAAAGCCGCATATATTATATTATTTGTTCACTCATTACCAAGTGGACGGTGTATGTGACCAGATATTCAGCAATAAAAACATTGTATCTTTAGCGTGTACAAACTATTATAAATGGACAATAAATTATAATACATTCCACTTCAGCACTCTAAACATCTTGAAGCAAAATGCCATACTGACAAGATACAAATGAATAGCATGGGAGGTAATTATACTTTCCACATTCAAAACACAGACTACAATTGACAAAAAGGGGAGATAATCACGACTATAGTTTCAGACCACATATATTTTCGAGCCTCTTGTCATATAAATATCGTATAATAGGGCGGTGAATGCTTAACATAATTTCTAGTGAGGGTCGTAAGCCGCTTGCAAGAGACCACATTGCATGGTGAAAAGTCCAGAAAACCTCTCGGGAATCAACACATATTTAGAGAAGCGCTTTCAGGACCAGAAAAGTCAAAAAAGTGGAGTGGAAAACTGAAAACAGTCATCAATTATTGTGGTACAATTGCACAGTTATGATATTATTTGCATTTGGTCAAGAAACACAACTGACTTTTTTTTTACCTTCATTTACTGACAAGAGACAATGAATTTCACAAGGAATAGTTGTATAACAATTGTCTTAATCATGATACAATGAATTCCACAAGGAATAGTTGTATAACAATTGTCTTAATCATGATACAATGTATTTCACAAGGAATAGTTGTATAACAATTGTCTTAATCATGATACAATGAATTCCACAAGGAATAGTTGTATAACAATTGTCTTAATCATGATACAATGAATTCCACAAGGAATAGTTGTATAACAATTGTCTTAATCATGATACAATGTATTCCACAAGGAATAGTTGTATAACAATTGTCTTAATCATGATACAATGTATTTCACAAGGAATAGTTGTATAACAATTGTCTTAATCATGATACAATGTATTTCACAAGGAATAGTTGTATAACAATTGTCTTAATCATGATACAATATATTTCACAAAGAATAGTTGTATAACAATTGTCTTAATCATGATACAATGAATTTCACAAGGAATAGTTGTATAACAATTGTCTTAATCATGATACAATGTATTTCACAAGGAATAGTTGTATAACATGTCTTAATCATGATACAATGTATTTCACAAGGAATAGTTGTATAACAATTGTCTTATTTATTGTCTTAATCATGATACAATGTATTTCACAACGAATAGTTGTATAACAATTGTCTTAATCATGATACAATGAATTTCACAAGGAATAGTTGTATAACAATTGTTTTAATCATGATACAATGCATTTCACAGGGAATAGTTGTATAACAATTGTCTTATTTATTGTCTTAATCATGATACAATGTATTTCACAAGGAATAGTTGTATAACAATTGTCTTAATCATGATACAATGTATTTCACAAGGAATAGTTGTATAACAATTGTCTTAATCATGATACAATGAATTCCACAAGGAATAGTTGTATAACAATTGTCTTAATCATGATACAATGAATTCCACAAGGAATAGTTGTATAACAATTGTCTTAATCATGATACAATGTATTCCACAAGGAATAGTTGTATAACAATTGTCTTAATCATGATACAATGTATTTCACAAGGAATAGTTGTATAACAATTGTCTTAATCATGATACAATGAATTCCACAAGGAATAGTTGTATAACAATTGTCTTAATCATGATACAATGTATTTCACAAGGAATAGTTGTATAACAATTGTCTTAATCATGATACAATATATTTCACAAAGAATAGTTGTATAACAATTGTCTTAATCATGATACAATGTATTTCACAAGGAATAGTTGTATAACAATTGTCTTAATCATGATACAATGTATTCCACAAGGAATAGTTGTATAACAATTGTCTTAATCATGATACAATGAATTTCACAAGGAATAGTTGTATAACAATTGTCTTAATCATGATACAATGAATTTCACAAGGAATAATTGTATAACAATTGTCTTAACAATGAATTTCACAAGAATATGAATAATGATATCATGGACTTCAAAAGGAATTACTGTAGAACTATTAGCCAAATCATGTCAACTACTTCTTGACAGGGAAAGCATTAAGACAATTGGTCCTCATGATAGTTAGCTCCATTATGATACAAATATAATAATTTTCAACGTGATGAAGAGCGGATGGATAGGCCCTTAGTAATGTATGGTAAGTGGCTCAATCAACCATGAAAGGACTATATATATTCAACAATTAGCTGAGGTCAGGACACAGCATATGGGTCCAGCAAAACGTTCTCAACAGAAGTCTAGATGGCTAGATACCTGACTGACTTACTGGCATGTGCATCTATTTCAAGATATGATATGGGACATCTAGTGTTGGCACTGATTTCATTACAATAATATTTTTTTCCCTCACCCCTACAATACTACCTTTATTTTGACTACCTGTGTGTCTAAAAATATACAAAATTAAGGTTAAATTCCTTTCTTTGATCAACTATTGACCGATATCAGTGTACCAATACTGTATTAATTATATCTCATTATGAGACATTAATATTAATTACTTATTATTACATAATAATTACAATAATAAGTCTAATTATCTACTATATTCTATAATAAATAGAATATATATATTTATAGATGACTCACAACTCAGAGTTCTATTTCAATAGGCACATGAATGTAAAACTTATATAGCATAATAAAAGAATACCAAAAATACTAAAATGAATCCATGGATTATTACATTTTACTTGGATAACAACTTAAGAAGAAACTCTACAAATCATGTCCATTCATGTCTATTGACCATGAATATTTATCTTTTTAGGTAAAAACTGTGGTAGCGATTTCTTCTGTGAAAGACCTCTTACAAGTTACTAGTTTATTGTGGTCTGAAATATTAATGAGGGTGACAATGCTCTTCTAATGCTTACTAAAACTTTTATTTATCTGTTAAATAATAATAATTCTCGACTTAAAACTGGGCAAATAAAAATGATAAAGATTGTCTTTTAATTGTCTGAAAATGATGACTTTAAAATTTAACAATTTTTATATATAACTGTAACATTAAATAACAAAAAACATCTGATTGACTTCAAATGTACAAAATAATTTTAAATTAGATGCGAAAATTCAACTTTCTACAATGAACAAAAATTAATGCTATACAAGAAACATAACAATGTAAATTGTTTTTTGCACTTCAAAGTTTGCTGCATACAATGATAATTTAAAAAACATTGCAATTTATAATTTGAAACAATAATCAACAAATTATAATGCTATAGAAGGAACACAACAATGACTAGATACTTATTATAATACAGTTTTATATTTTGATTAAATCAAACCCTGAAACTAGTTCAAAATAATATTAACAATATTAACAGGAAAGCTGCTTATTAACTGTGACTGTGGTTCTGCAGCTGGACCCTTGGCCCTTCTGAATTTTTAGAAGAAATGACTAGTTTAATGACTATTATTAAAAAATAGTGGGACTCTTCCATTAGTAAAATATTAAGGAGCTGGTTGATGGAAGCTTCATAACTTTTCAAAAATTACAAAAATACAATGCAAGAGTTCTGATTGGTATATTTCATTGAAGAATCAGGCCGCTTACTTGAAATGATACGAAGGGTCTTCTAACACCATTTTCTAGCGCTACGATCATAGCCTGATATCAGGAAGTTATAAAGTTTCTGACTACAGGTCCGTGAATGTTAAAATGTGGTTAGTAAATGAAGCGTACTGTATTTTGACAGTACTGGAATGTCATCTGCCATTCTTTAATAGAGGTATATTTTGTTTTGTTTCTCCGATGGGAAAAATAATAGGAAAATATCTGACAATTACAAAAAAATAATCTCAATTTGGCTACTCATAAACATATCTGTCACAATTTCGATATTCTTCAAAAGATTTATAAACTTGTGCTTCCATAACACTTAAAATAAAATATAAAAAAAAATTGAAGCAACAGTGGCTTTGGCTAGGAATTTGTTAACAAGTTAAAATAAATTAAGAAAGTTTTAAAAATGTTTCTACACTTCATTCTTGCCCTTTTTCTTCTTCTTCTTCATCTTCATAATACGAGTCATCCCATCCAAAATCTCGACCAGTTAATCGATAAAATTTCAAATTAAACTGATGAAAAAATGCACGTAGTTTATTTTTAATCCATGGCTGAATGCTGGGATGTTTTCTACCTTTGGAACGTGATAAGCACTTTTCTGATGCATCGTCATTTTTAATACAATAAAAACCTCGTGACACATTAAAAACAAAGTCACTCTTGGTTATTTCATGACTGATACCTAAAAAGGATTCCACTTTACGAATTTCTTTCCATGGAGCTCTAGTTAAATTGTCACCATCCACAATTTTAATTTGATCAAAACTAAAATATTTCAACCATTTTTGTAAATGTCTGCAGTATATTGACCTTCGAACAGCATTATATGAACGATTGATATCTCCAGTGTCTGCATCTATCACCAAATTCTCAAAAGGTATCACTGGCTTGTGACGAATGATTTTATTTTCACGGAATTGAGCATAGTCTGATATGGTACGTTCTACTGGATCTTTCACTATGAGTATTAGTTTAATGGACGAGTTCATGGCATAGACACGTTCTGGAACAACACTTTCTACCAAGTAAGATGGTGTTTTCTCTATAGTTAATTGAGTTTTATAAGTATAAGGCATTTTCTTACGGTACCAATCATACCCAAGTTCATAGTTCTCATCAAAATCAAAGAAATGTAACTCTCGCCCTACTGCCTGTATATCTGGATGAATGTTTAAAAATGAAAGTAGAGCTCTGGTGCCTGCTTTCCGTGCTCCAATAATAATACACTGAGGTAGACGACGTTTAGTATGAGGCAGGTGCTCTAAACGTTCTTTATGATTTGACGAATTCCCTGATAAACAAACTGAATTTCCACGTAAAAAATGTAACTGACTATTGGATATAACAATACAGAATACAGTTACCACTAAAATAAACACAATAGCCAATAACTTATATCTTGTTAACTTTGGACACAATATTTTCTTCCTGGTCTCATCCAGTCTTTCTCCCTGCTGTATGATATGATATTTAATGCTGCTTCGACCAGACGTCATCATAAGAGGTATTTTCATTACTTTAACTTATCTGAAAAATATAATAAAAAATTATTGACAAAATGAAGCAATAATAATGCATGAAAAAATTATCACAATAACATATGCATGTAAGGAAATATGAGAAAAAAAAAAAAAGTAATTCAAGTTTTTTTAGAAAGAAATGAAACCTCCACTAACACAATATTCAGTGTTGAATTTTCTTTTTTATAATCATTCAATGAGGTAATAATTGGAAGGGAATTTGATGCTCATATTGTTAATGGTGCAGTGTTATTTTGTTATCAGCATAGAAATATTGAACACTTAACACTATTAAGTAATACTTCCATGGCATCATAACACAAGTTTCTACATTATCACAGGTCATCTCATCTCTGATATTATACTATTAACAAAATAATCCCTGGCTAATTATTTCATCTGAGTATCAACTCATTTCCAATTAACAATAGCACTTTCTAACATTAGAATTAGGTCTCTGTTTCTCAATATATCTTATGAACAGATTGTTGTCATAGCGAGTGTAACTTTTTTTTTAAAAGGAATTCTCATTTTTACAAGTTCTGATTCAAAAAACTTTTCAGAAACCAAGTTCTGGATAATTAGGAGTTATTATAACTGCCCCTATGCTATTTCAAGTATTCCCTAACAGGACTAACAATCAACTGCCTTTCAATAATTTCACTAGTGAAAAAATCACACAATAACCAAGATTTCCCTTGAGTTTGAGATGTTAATAAATCACTGTATAAGATGTTACATCATTGTTCCACAAATCACATGTTTTGACATAGTTGTATATCACAATGACATTGAAATAAAAGAAGACTGAATTTTTTCTCCTAATCCTGTGTATTCTGTAGAAATTACAATGTAAGCTGGTAATATCAATATTTTCACAGATGTTATTTCTAACTTGAACTCTTTTCACTGCCTATCAAAAATAATAGCATATCTTTCACGACATTTCACATGAGACATCAAGTTACTGACAACAAATACTTTGAGTTATTTTCCTCTTGGTTTCACAAACATAATGAAAGAACCGAAATTTCATCTATAATACCTAACTTGGCCATTGCATCTGATAGTCGGATCAAGAGCACTTTTGCCAATGTCATTTGAGATGTTTTCTCAGATCATTTTATACATTTAAAACACAGACTGGAAATTTTACTTCTTGCTACTAATTTCAAGCTCTCTGAATAAATACCAGATTAAGATGACATATATAGATGACCTTTGTTTTTTCCAGAATTCTATATAATGTACTGGTAATAATGACAACATCTAAACAAGACATCAAATAATTTTACTGACCTACAGAACAATCTTGAAATAAACCAGCCTGAAGTTACAACCCCATGAGGAAAAATAGTCCAATTTCAGGACTTGTCCACAATGAAAACTATATAATACAGAAAACACAAGCATGATAGAGAATTGGTCAACTTGACATTTTCAAAATGAACTGACAGAGAATATGTTGTTCAATATTCATTAAAAATTTAAACTAAAAGCAGCTATCTTTTTTAAATCATAGAAACTATAATTACTTTCATAAATAAACAATGAAGAGCTTATTTTTTATGGTGAATACAGAGATCTATTTGAAAAGACAATTAGGAAAAATCTTTCACAGAACAAGAGACAAAAAACCACATCAAAATAGAAGGAAGATTTTATCAATCAATAATACAGTATATAGAGTAAAAAATTTCTAATTATAAATATTAAGAAAACTAATAAAATTCTTTTTTCTAATTCATTCCGAAGCATATCACATAGAAAATACTCACAATACTATGTTGAAGAATTTAGTCAACATCAAAAAATGAAAACCAAACAAATAAAAAAACATTTGCGTGGTGGTGTCTTTTGAAAATCAACATGTTTTAATTCTTTCATATTAATTTGAATATTTCAACCAACTATGAAACTATGAATTTAAAATATCAGATCTCAGTGAATAATCAATTGAAGAAGTGGTGATAATATAGGTCTAACATGAGGCAATGAAATAAGTTTATACCTATGCTTAAAGTACAGACCGATCTTTTAAAAGGACAACTTAGTTTCCATATACAATAAAATACAATGTACTGCAATAAACCACAGGTAAAAACCACTAGACAAAAATTTTGTCTCCTTTAATCCAACCAAGCAGATTGGCATGGATGGTTAGCTTTGATAATCCCACAACTAACTTCACAAACAATATTGTCTTACTAGAGGTTCTGTCTACATTCCTGTACTTTACTTAACCACAATGTTACAACATCAAATACCCACAACAAGAAGTGTGACAATTTTCTCTAGCACACAGAAAGATTACTGTTGGTTCATGAATATTCCTTGTTAATACCCTAGGTCTAAAATTGTACTAACATACATAATGATGTAAATGATCCTACAGCCTATTAATACCATGAGATTATGTTACAGAATTTTGTAAATAAATAGATTTTTAATAGGAAGCTAACAGTTGTTAACAATTCAACCAACTGTGTAACATTTCATAAATACTCTGACATAAACTAGTAAGCTAATTAGGCCTAATTAACACTTACAAACAAAGTCTTTGATATTAACAATTTACTCTTTGATATATAATAATAGAACATTCAAGAGAATGTGTTTGTTTGATATATAAGGTAGTGGTTCATATTCTGAGGTTAAACGGAAACGTAAATACTAGTTCAAATTAATTAAGTCAGCCCAGTTGCACCAGAGTCGCCTCAACTTTCAACCCTTGCTTTTTTTTTAACTCATTAGCTTACATATCTGCTTTTTTTTCAGTTCGTTTCTCCCTTCTCTCCTTTCATTCCTCCAAACCAAATGATTTTATATTCTTGTTGAATCAAAGTGTTCTCCAATTCCAACTCTTTTACTCCTTGTCTAATATATTTGGTATTGTTTTTTTTTAATAATTTTCTATCACTATCTTCCTTCTATAAGGTCAGTTTCCTTATAATAGTGCATTTCAAAAGTAAAATCATCTTTCCAAATAATACTCCTCAAAACCAACTGAATTTATATCCTATACATGTGTCAACAGCTTCAGATTAGCTCGTGTCAATTAGATTCACTATTGAACCAAAATATATATTTGATAAACATGCAATGGGCTAAATAACAAAGTGTCTATGAAAAGTAAATTTGATTCAAGTAGTGAGTAATACCTCTAGCCAGTTCTGGTATAATTGGGTTTACTGTAAAATATGGTAAAGAAATTAAAATGAAAGTTATTCTTTGAAGTGCCTCATTAAGAAACTGTCAGTGAGTATAATTATATATTTATATTAAATAGTTTATCATTACATTCCATTCATACCAGAGCCCAGGTCCCCAACCAGGAGGTGCTAGAGCCCAGGTTCCCAACCAGGATGTACTAGGGCCTAGGTTCCCAACCAGGATGAACTAGAGCCTAGGTTCCCAACCAGGATGTACTAGGGCCTAGGTTCCCAACCAGGATGTACTAGGGCCTAGGTTGCCAACCAGGATGTACTCGAGCCCAGGTTCCCAACCAGGAGGTACTAGAGCCCAGGTTCCCAACCAGGATGTACTAGAGCCTAAGTTGCCAACCAGGATGTACGAGAGCCCGGGTTCCCAAACAGGAGGTACTAGAGCCCAGGTTCCCAACCAGGATGTACTAGAGCCTAGGTTGCCAACCAGGATGTACTAGAGCCTAGGTTGCCAACCAGGATGTACGAGAGCCCGGGTTCCCAAACAGGAGGTACTAGAGCCCAGGTTCCCAACCAGGATGTACTGGAGCCTAGGTTGCCAACCAGGATGTACTAGAGCCTAGGTTCCTAACCAGGATGTACTAGAGCCCAGGTTCCCAACCAGGATGAACTAGAGCCCGGGTTCCCAACCAGGAGGTACTAGAGCCTAGGTTCCCAACCAGGATGTACTACAACCCAGGTTCTCATCCAGGAGGTACTAGAGCCTAAGTTCCCAATCAGAATGAACTAGAGCCCAGGTTCCCAACCAGGAGGTACTAGCGCCCAGGTTCCCAACCAGGATGAACTAGAGCCCAGGTTCCCAACCAGGAGGTACTAGCCCCCAGGTTCCCAACCAGGATGAACTAGAGCCCAGGTTCCCAACCAGGAGGTACTAGAGCCCAGGTTCCCAACCAGGATGTACTAGAGCCCAGGTTCCCAAACAGGAGGTACTAGAGCCCTTGTACCCAACCAGGATGTACTAGAGCCCAGGTTCCCAACCAGGATGTACTAGAGCCCAGGTTCCTAACCAGGAGGTACTAGAGCCCAGGTTCCTAACCAGGAGGTACTAGAACCCAGGTTCTCAACCAGGATGTACCAGAGTCAGAGTTTCTAACCAGGATGTACTAGAGCCCAGGTTCCTAACCAGGAGGTACTAGAGCCCAGGTTCTCAACCAGAATGTACTAGAGCCCAGGTTCTCATCCAGGATGTACTAGAGTCAGGGTTCCTAACCAGGATGTACTAGAGTCCAGGTTCCCAACCAGGATGTACAGGAGCCCAGGTTCTCATCCAGGATGTACTAGAGTCAGGGTTCCTAACCAGGATGTACTAGAGTCCAGGTTCTTATCCAGGATGTACTAGAGTCAGGGTTCCTAACCAGGATGTACTACAGCCCAGGTTCCCAACCAGGAAGTACTAGACACCAGGCTCTCAACCAGGAGATACTAGAACCCAGGTTCCCAACCAGGAGATACTACAGCCTAGATTCCCATCCAGGAGGTACTAGATACCAGGTTCTCAACCAGGAGGTCCTAGAGCCCAGGCTTTCGGAACTACCCCTTGGGTCAATCCAGCACATACTACAGGATGTATCTGAAAACCTTTCATGAAAATTAATGAAAAACAGAATGCAAGCAACAGTCTCTTGTGGCCAGTAACTTTAAGGAAGTAAAAACCTTGTTTTTTCAGCTTCTTTGTTGTGTCATTCCTTCACTCCCTGGGGAAACATAATGAGCTAAAACTTATGAATGTCCTCTTTAAAACAAATATTGGACAGTTTTCTTAATTGGTGTTTACATTATATATAAATATCTTATTATATACATCAATAAACTCAATGTTTATTTAGTTCTTCCAGTCTCTAAATTATCCCAGTCCCACTAGTTAGAAAAGTCCAGTGGTGTAGTCATCAATTATGTAAAGATATTAGTTCTTTTCACACAGCTGGGATTGTTACATACTGAATAATAGATATCACAATATCTGCTACATAGTTGAGAGATTATTTGTGTCTAATATTTCCTCAACCAGTATTGTAAGCAACATATTGAAATCAACACTAAATGCTCAGTCACAAGAATGAACAAGGTACAATGTATGGTTGCTGGTAGGAACCAATATGCGTATCATATTGAGAATGAAAACCATGGTATGGTTTGTTCCATGTTGGCCACATGAAGCATAACATTTTGAATAATCATCATAAGCTAGGTGGACTTTCTAAGTAAGTTGACAAACTAAGATTAACATCTGGTGTTATGGAAGGGTATGCATTCAATAGTTAAGTTTACTTTGAACTTTATATCATACATATAATGAGTTCATCATAAAAAGAGAGTTACTGATCAATAATCAATAAAATAAATAATAAAATGAATTTAAGTTCAAACAGTTTTTATATCCTAATCATTATCACCTTTATTATAATTGATTTTTTTGATAAAGTTTATATTAGGCTTCACCATGTGTTACAGTAAATATATCAATCATACAAACTCATTGCATATCTAGTTTTTTTATGGTTGAATCTTGAGATCTGTGGCTTACATGATAGTATTATTGTGGATTGTCATCCAGCAGGAGATCAGAATGATACCTATTATCAAGTAATTTAGTGAACACAGCCTAAATGGAAAGGATTTCCATAGATTTCACATCACGACTTTATCAGGGTGTCACTGGAAATGATGTTTAAGATTCACACTTAGTGAACAAAACTATGTGAAGTCATAAAAATTCTAAAAATGAAATGTTAACACTGCTAGACAAAGATAAGTGGCACAAATAAGAAATACATCATTTTAAGCATCTGTTAGGAACAAACCTTCATCCTCATAGCCATCAAATAAATCACCTAAACCACTTTATGCATTTAGAGCTCAGAATTTCATTTTATCTGACGAAATCCAGAATTGGTTATTAAAATTTATTCACACAATGTCAAGCCAGTTATCCAATTTGATTTGATGTCAACAGTTTTATATTGTGGGAATCTATCTTTAATTAGTAAAAGTAGTTCACACTGTGTCAGATTATCACAGTAATCACTGAGATTTGATGTCAACAGTTTTTTTTATTGATTACCTGCAGTCTGGTAGATTCATTCCAATTTCAATAAATCTGCCAAGTATAAAAAAGGTTTCAGTTACATTACATTAAAACTTTTAAAAGGAATAGACATTTATTTTGAATATTTTATTTCCAAAAAACGGACATGAAATAATAGACACGTCTTGCCAAGCATACTCTGAAGATAACATTCCCATAGCCAAATTCTGAAATCTATCCTATTTATTCTGTACTTTTTGCCAGAGTAAATGAATCCAGATTTAATGAGTTCTCCACTGCAAGTTGAAATAAAAGAAATCAAATTGATATCCTACAGTGCTGAGCTTGGCTAACTTAATCTTAATGCAATATATGAGATAAAATTTCCAAAATAAGTCAATCAAATTGAACACTTGCCAAGCAGACCAACTTGTCATTTTTACCTCAAATCTTTACGTTTATAATTTCATGAACAAATACTGGTACATATCATAAGGAATTCTAAATCCATCTGAGAAAAAAACTCAACTTTTTATTGGTCTATAAACAATTTAACATCTTGACAGACAGTTTGTACATTCGTGTTATAAACATTTCTAAATCCTAGAGACAAGATCAGCTAGTTGTGTCAATTAAAATCAACCTACACAATATTCTACAGACAGATCTACATGATAAAATTATTGAGAATAATTCTCTAGCTCAGTAATCTTCAATATAAATATTGTTGTTCATAAACCAAGCAATATTCACTATATAACAGGTCAGAATAATTTAGCAAATAAGAAAAATAATCAGACAAATGTTATTTCCATCCGTCCTAGTGTCTTTGTGTATCTTATCAATTGTAGTAGCCTACAAAACTTCAACATTCAAAGCATTAAATGACCACCCACATTATTGTCAAGTAGTATCAGGTTTTATAAGAGATACTCACTTAAAGAAGCACTAGCCTAGGTATTAACCAAGCTGATTTCAATTTCATGCAACTAACCTACACAGGCACTGGCATCAATTAGAACTTTAATACCTTGAAATATAACATACTTCAATTCTTAAAAAATTAATGGTACCTTTGATTCATAGTTAACACGAACCCAAAATACATTCAAAGAACAAATTATTTCAATTATTCAAGTGGTAGGCTGATGTAAATTGTGTCACTCAACTCCACACAGAAAATGACAGAGTTATAATATATAATAGATCAAATCATTAAAATGTACCATGTATTAGTATCTTTTATTCATAGTTAATATAAAATCTATGTATCAGATAATCACAAACATAATGACAAATAATATTAGCCTAGTGTCATGCAACTATCCAACACAATGATAGCATCACATATTGGACTTTATAAAATCCTTGTAATAACACATAGTTCAAATCATAATCAAATTACCATACCTTTATAGTAAATCATCCTTAACATTAAATTCAAAAAACCTCCAAGCATCAAATGATCACGAACATAATGACAAATAGTATTAGCCAAGTGTCGTTGTCAATAAAGCAACCCACACACAGTGATTATAGAGAGAATGGAGTATAAGTCCTACAAGGTCAATCAAATATTGATTTATTTATGTTTCTATAGTTTTCTCTTCTCTTAATATAAATAGGTTAACTATAATTATAACTTAATATTTCAATATTATAATCTTTTAATATGTCACTTTTTTAACAAGCACCTGTTCAGTGAGTTCGCTTAATTTGTTCATATGCCTTAGGTCAAATCAATTCAGATTTACAATTTACCAATCTAACTTATAACTTACAGTATTCAACACATTTTCAATCAAATATTAAATCTAGTGTCAGAAATAATCAAAATATCAACACAACAGCAATTCCAATTCCTATGATATATATCCAACTTACCAAAACCAACAGTTCCTAATTCTTATTCCAAATTTCAATTTAAATAGGAAAGCCTCCAACTGGCCAGGATGTTTTTAATGTTCACATGTAGATATTAGATTCTTGTCATAACAAACAGTCCTCACCAAATGGTTCGTTTCTTGTCTATGAAAAACAATGTTAGTGACTTCATCCCACCCTGGTGTTTAGGTTGATATAATATGTTTGGAACTCTTATTGCCTCACCGGTCAAAACCTGGTTGATATTCAATTGATGCTATCTGATATAATGAAGATATGCATGCTTATCATGTCAGACAAGACCATGATTTAATTATAACAGAATATTGTTACTTTTGTCGGTTTGAGGACATTCAGACAATTACACCAACCCTGCTCTAGTCTAAAACTCCAGATGTTATCTTCTAACCTCTGTCATTGTGGCCTTAATCTGATAACTTCTCATAAGAAACAGGCTGGTGCAGATTATTTCTAAATCATAGAATAAAAACTTTTAAGGTTATGTACTACACAAA